AGGATCGACACCCACCTTCTCTCGGTCGTTAGACGACGTTCCAAAGCGATATCCGCGAAAGTAATACGAACATAAACGGTTCGATACCAAACGAGGTTTCTTACAAAGTCACTCCCTTTCGGGTAATTTCGTTGATCTGATGTTTAAGAAGGTACTAACAGCCGCAGAAAAAAATTACTCAGTAACAATTATGAGATCTTCCGTCCTGGCGTACGTACCGTTTGTTCAGACTTTTCCAAGTTGGATGTGGAAGCAAAGCTAATGAGTCTGGGTGTGAACGTGGATAAGGCGAACTATTTCACATCTTCAAGCAAACAATTAACGCATTCGTTCCTCTACACTCGCGTCCCTGTTAGTAGAAGAGGTGGTTCCTTATTGAACTCGACCTAAATCGCTTTGAGGTTTTTTATTGTCTGTAGAGGAGCGACCGCTATAAGAAAACGTTTTTGCTATTATTCGGATGTTGCTCAAACTTGGATCTCAAAGAGTAACACTCACATTTAGAACACGATTTTAGTGGACACTTATGAAAGCTCAAAATTTTCCGAAGTATATTTTTGAACTCTGTGACTAGTTTAATTACATTTTTTTTCCAAATAAGCTTCAAAATAAATTTGAACTGCAAAATGCAAAAAATACTTACATTCCTTTCTAATATACATTTCTAATATATACATTTACAGCATGTCTAGAAGCTCATTCGCCCTATGGATTTATCACATTTGGTGTGGTGGCGAAGCCCAATGAATTTCCATACATGGTGAGTTAATTGAAATAGACACAAATTCTAAAGAGTTTGCTCTAAAAAAAATATTCGTGGTAGTAAGTTAAGATACAAAGCTATTTTTCTTTGTATGCAGGCTGCTATAGGTTGGCGAGTACGAGATCAAAATGGTACAGGGAGCATAGCTTACAGATGCGGTGGAACATTAATCGACAGCAGGTATTTGCTAACAGCTGCGCACTGTCTCTACCACTCTAGGTAAATACTTAGGCGAATTTCAAAATAACAAAAACCTATGTAGTTACACTATAATACTGTTCTTCTTTCCCGCAAGTGATCCGCCTGTTGTGGTGCGTCCAGGCGGATTCGATTTGAATAGTACCACTGCGACTGACTATGATATCGATCAGATTATTGAACATCCAAATTATGAATACCCAGCAGTTTACAATGACATAGCGCTCATTCGCATGGCAAAAGGATATTTGTAAGTTCTGCTGGCGATTTTTACCAATCGTGTGAATAATAAAATATTCCTTTCTAGTAGCGGCATACCCAAAGTGGCTAAAGCTTGCATCTGGTATGGGTCATTGGCTGAGGAGCAGCTCACGGCTATAGGTTATGGGGATACACAATTTGGTAAGATTAGAGAAGAGCATTTAATATGAATTTTATTATCCTTCCCTCTCTCTCTCTATAACCTACTCTCTGGGTCTCAAAGCTGGCGCCTCCTCACCGCTCTTAATGAAAACGAGTTTGTCTACAATTACGAACGAAGAATGTAATACGTATTATGAACAGGATGAAGACTTGCTGAGTTCAGGAGTAATAGCTACACAGCTGTGTGCTAAAGATCATGAAAAGTTACGAGACACTTGTCAGGTGAGGTGTCGTTATTTTATGGCATATGACTCCCAAAAGGTTTAAGCTATATACAGATGTACATTTTATACTAAAAAGATTGCAGTTTTTAATTAATTGATTTTTATATTTTAGGGAGACTCCGGCGGCCCACTCGTAAGATATGAGGAAATAGAAGGTTACAGTCGGATAGCTTATATTGTGGGTGTAACCTCTTTTGGCATCGGATGTGGTACTGGCACCCCCGGAATTTATACACGCATTTCGGAGTATTATGATTGGATTGAGGAAAAGGTTTATAAATAGAAATATATTTGTTTCAGCTCTAACATACATACATAAGTTATTATACATAATAAAAATTATAAAAAAATCAAAGTTGGAAGCATTCTAATATATAGTTGAAAAAAACTTTTCTGCATTGCCAAATTTTTTTAACAATGAATGTTCATTAGGGTGGTCCAAAAACGCATGTGGAAAAAGTAAAGTCGGAATTTGTATGCTCCTACCCCCTAGGATTGTTTTATACCGAAAAAATATAGCCCTATTTTTTTATTTTGAAATCAAATAATATTTAGAGGTCGCTCAAAGCGCTCAAAGTTTTTCATGTATTTTTATATGGGGAAAAAAACTTTTCGTAGAAAACTCTGTTTATCTGCAGCAGATTCCCAGTAATAATACCCATACTATTATGTCTGAAGCAGTATGTAAAGTGGGGCAACCAAAAAACACATCTATATACACTCGGACAGCAGAGCGCGTCGCTGCTCGTTTTTAATCGCACGACGTCACCTCAAATCTGGTAAGGGACTGCCTTCGGCTTTTAATACTTATTGCCTCCAGAAAGGGGAGTAGACTCATATGGGTACCGGGACACAATGGAGTCACGAGCGAGGTTTCTTAGCAATACGGGGATCAAAGAAGACATATAGTCGAATAGAGGTTTGTTAGATCGTTTCGGTCGCGGTAACTAGGTGATCTGCTCCCTCCTCTAAATCTAATCTAATCTAGGTAATCAGGTATGTATATGAACCGCTTTTGTCCAAGCAAAGCTGCCCTTTCCTACTTAATGGCCAGAACGGTCTTCATTAGTTAACACGGTATATTGATAACAGCAATCCAAGAACGGAAGCCATACAACATCGCAGCCTTGTTTAGCCATTGTCTCTCTTGCAGGAATTAAAAAAGTGGACGGTGAATGGTCTGAGTGGTCTAAAAGCGTCAGTAGTGTTGAGAGGTCGCACTTTTAAGACAAAAAAAACAAATTAAACTAGGGATCCCATGGAGAGATGTCTTACCCCCATTCGTTAGGACTATATTTATGCTCTATGTCGCTTCTTTACTGCACTTTTTCTGTACAAAGTACAAAAAGTTATTTACAGTATACAATAATATTGTATTCTAAATTATACAATGTCAGTTTGGTCACCAGGAACCGCACGGAAAACCCGAACAGTCACTTACATGAAGCAGAGTCAATTACGATCTAGATACTGTAGTATGTAGATTAAATGAGCTTTCCTTACACTTCTTTCCCGCTGAACTGACGCGGTCGAAAAAGTGAGTTTTATAGGCTTGATGAGTTAGTTGAGCTTGAGACAAAGATTTATGGACTAACCGAACTAGGTACTACAAAGTAAAGCCACTACAAACAACAACAACAATATTTCTTATCGCACATTCACCGGCCAACTTGATAAAATAGAGTTTTCGAATGGTAAATGATTTTTTATGAGAAGCTTTTTCGTAACAGAAGCACACCTGGTTGCCTGCAAATGGACGACCGTTTTTGGAAATAAAGGCCGGTCCACATAGAACTTTCGCGTTGGCTTTGGCTTTGGCGTTAGTTTGACAGAACGCACGTTAAAAGTATGCTTGCTACAATCAACGCTTGGCAGCGAATGCTTTGAGCACTAGATTTAAATACTAACGACAGATAAATTAATATTTCATATCAATAATTGCATGAAACTTGATATTTCTTACCTACATTTGATTAAAAATTAAAAATATTTCACATAATTTTATTTATTTGCAACAGCTGATTGACAACGCGCGCAAAAAGATGAGAGATGCCCATCTTTTTGTGGGCGTTAGCTTTGGCGTTGGCGTTGCCGTTGATATGTGGACATGTCCATATAATTGTGTGTATTCATAGTCAGCTGTTAATCAACGCCAACGCCAAAGCCAACGCCAAAGTTCTATGTGGACCGGCCTTTACTTTTCTATAATTTATATGTTCCGTCGACAAAGAACGCATGGAAATGTTTTTCGGTCACTGTGGCGTCTAGCAAATAAGTTTGCTATTAATTCTTAATTAGTTAATAAATTTATTCTGTGCCTGGTATGATATATGATTGGCATAGGAATCGGCATAAATTGAAGCACATTGGTAAAATGTCTCCTTTTATAATAGCCCTGATCCAGTACTCCATGAACTTACAGGTTCTTACACGAACTTGCAGGAAGTTACAGTAAAAATGATCCCGTACTACGAATCCCTCCAAAATCCTGCAAATGAGAGCAATTTTTGATGAGTTGTGTAGAGAATGAAGTTGCAAGAGTTTACCCGAACTTTTTCTTCTGGTAAAATCATGAAAAGTGGTTGACGTTTTTACAGGTAAAATGCTTTTTTTGTTACCGTACTTTTTGTTGTTACTCACTTTTTACTCTCACTTCAGAGAGTAATTTTGCTGTTTGACATTTTTACAGGATTTTACACGAAAAGTATTGGATCAGAGCTAATATGTAATAAATACAGCACAGATCTACGCAAATAGATAAAACCAACATCGTTGCGAAAACCAGTTACAACTGATAAACATGCAAGCTCATCTCTTACATGTATGCGTCAGTGAGATACACTGGAAAAAAATATGGGTTAAAAGCAAAGACATTAAAAGCTTCCTCTTCATGGGTGCAGAATCTAAGGTGTTTTCAGCGAAAATTTATGATCCTTGCGTAGAATAGATCTCCAGAAAGCCTACAAAGCCTTCTCTTCTTATTGAACGGCGTCCGCGTTTCATCGTCACACAAAAAAACGGGCATAATGAAAACAAAGTCCTTCACATTCACCCACCTCTTACGTCTGCGTTCCTGTAATCAGGTTAACTTGAGCTAGATGCAGTAATAAGCCCGTTTGTAACTTTTCGTAGCGACAAAAAGAGGAAGAGCTTAAATGGATCAGCTGGAAAGGACTTACAGAAGTCAGCACCGCCCACTCCATACATAAAAATCCACATCCACAAAGGTGTCCTGAGAAACCCCAAACGTAGTGCTATCGAATCCAGAAACTTACCATTCTAGATCTTTAAGCTCAAATAAAATTTGCATACATTCTTATCAGTGTCACACAACAACAGGTACATAGGAGCTGATTGACTAGCAGGAGTTGCTACATTCGCCTTGCGTAGGAAATTAGGAAATCAGAACGAGTTTGAACATCCTTGCCAACGGTTGGAAGCTGCTTGCCATTCCGGTAGAAAACGCCAACGAGATGAAAAAGGCATTTTATTCTCGCACTAAGCTTATCAGCTTAGTCGGCGTTCAATTTCTGCTGTTGGGTAAATATGGAATTTATTTTATAATTTCCATTTAATTTAAACTTTAAGACTAATTTTATTTTCACTTTATTTAGCAACATACCTGTCCCGTGAAGTCTTCGGTTGCCACGAGAATCAGCTATGTTTAACGCCGCGAAACCGGATTGGTACCTATTTAACACGAGCCACTTATCTTACACTGTCCGAGAAATATCAAAACTTATGTTTGGGTATATGTAATTACAACAAAACGACACAGCTTATATGCTGCGCCACGCAGGATGTTCCGGCAGACAAAAGATTATCGCAAGTTCGTAAGTGACAAATCAAGAATGTACTACTATATTTTTTAAATGCAAATATTCTATTGGAATTTTTACGAAATAATGAAATCTTAATTTACATATTTTCATTAGAATGTGAATATGACCACCGCGATTTGGGCTTCATATTCATAGTACATGGCACCGTAGCGAGAGCAAATGAATTTCCCTTTATGGTTAGTGGAGATCTCTATTTATGTGCATACATATATTTCTGTATTTCTAGTTGCACTTAATTGTATGCACATTAGGGTGGAGCGGAAACAAAAAAATTTCCTTTCCAAATTCTATTAGCGAGGGATGCAAAAACTTGTTTAGAAAAATTCTAGGTATGCAGTTTAGAAGCTCTAAGTGTTAAGAATTACCCTTGATTAAAAAAAAAAATTATTTTATTTTATTTTTTTGAAGATGTTGCTGAATTTCTCCAGAGCGTAGCGAAAGTTATTAAAATGGTTAACGTGGTTCAAAGTTATCCATTAACATACGTAAAAAAATATTTCTAGGAATTGATAACCTCCTCTTCTTTTAGAAGTCGTTTGAAAAGTGGAGGCCGAAAGTATTAACCAATTTCAAAAAAAATTATTGGTATTAGAATTTTGAAACGCAAAATTGTTGGTTTCCGCTCCGTCCTAATGTACATACAAATGTATGTACGCAACTACATTTTCTTTTGTAGGCGGCTATAGGTTGGCGCACATTTGACAATGCAATATCATATCAATGTGGTGGCACCTTAATCAGCAACAGATATTTGCTAACAGCTGCACATTGCCTCTATCATTCAAGGTAGGTATGTATGTATTTACATTAAGGTGGTAAAAAAAAATTTAAATTAATTTTAGGATTTTTCTAAATGGTAAAAAAGAATACCCATATTTTTTTGTTAAAAAAAAGTATATTTAGAACTGTCTCAAAGCCCATGAAGTTTCTATGTATTTTATATGGCGAAAAAACACTTTTTCGTAGAAATGCAATAGAATTCCTGAAAATCAATATTTTTCGATCGCAAAACTCTGTTTCTCTTCAGGAGACTTCCAGTAATAATAGCCAATTATTTATTTTACTATTTTTTAATACTAACAATTTTTTATGGTTCCCCTCCATTGCAGTTTTGAGGTTTTGGGGGACCTACAAAAAATAGCTTTTATAAATAGAAAACTGGATGTTGTCATTGGAAGTCTCCTTAAGAGAAACCGAGTTTTCCGATCGAAAAAATATTCAGTTTCAAGAATTCTATACCATCTCTACGAAATTTTTTTTCTCCCTATATAAAATACTTAAACAGAAAAACGGGTATTCTTTTTTTCTATTTAGAAAAATCCTAGGGGTGAGAGCTCAACATTTTAAACTTTTTTCCCCTCGCATGTATATTTGGACCACCCTAATATACATACTTATGAACATTTGTGTGCATATAACAAAATTAAATTTGGTACTTTTTTCTATATTTACTCGTGTCTCATACATTTCAGCGAACCACCCGTTATGGTTCGTCCTGGTGGTTTTGATTTGGACGATGCTGGAGCAAAGGATATTGCAATCGATCAAATCTATGTACATCCTGGCTATGAATTTCCAGGAATATACAATGATATTGCAATTATAAGTTTAAAGGAAGGATATTTGTAAGTATGCTAGACTTTCAAACTAATGAAAGGTCTTTTTTATTTTTATTTTTTTTTTATTCGACAATGAATAAATGTTAAATTTGGATTTTTTATTTATTATTTTCTCGATCAATATAATCGTTATTTTGAATTTTTATTTTTTTCGATCATTTTTAACTGTTATAATGAAGACTGCGCTTTTATGACTGATTTAAACCGTTTATGATGTAAAAAAAAGTCTGAAAATAACGCTTATAATATGATCAAAAAATAACGATAAAAAATTTATCGAAAGATCAAAAATCACAAATAACGATTATTCTTGATCGAAAAAAATAAAAATAAAAAAATAACGGTTTAATGGTGTACTAATGTTTACGCTTACCGTTCAGAAAATGAACAGTCATGAGAATTGACTTTAATTTGGTAAAAATTGCGTAAAGATTCGATGCTTCGCTAGTTTTAAGAAAACATTTTGCTTCAACTTTCCAAATAACTTACACATATAAGCGAAACAATTTAATATTAAAATTATTATTTTTTTTTAATGCTGTGCCACCTATCGAATATCTTGCATATTGCATTGTCTTGGGGTCCGGAGGTAAGTTTGAAGGCTCTAACTCTTCGGGAAGTTAGTTAAAAATTGATTGCAAGATTTTACCCAAATATACAGAAATACATAGCAAGTTAGATAAAAGCTCGTAAAAATGCGTAAATGTCCGATAGGTATGGCTCTTATCTACCCATCGAAGCTAAGTGCAGAGCACTATCGAATTATTTTCTGTCCAGTTTCTGGGTCTTTGGAAAACCGTATTAATAATTCGTAATTTAGACCGTTAAAACCCTCTTTTTCTTACGACGGACACTCTAACACAGTTTCCAAATTCTCCTTGGTTTTTTTGTTTTTGGTTTTGTTTTTTGATTGTGTCTGTGTGATTGTGTGATTGTATCCTATTCACCAAATTATGCAATAACGCGTTATCTTTTCCCCTTTGGCTTTTATTTATATTTTTCTAAAGCCTTCCGTATCAGCGGACGTATATTTTCCCCCTCTAGAAGAAGCTAAATCACAAGGTCTGACCGTTTCATGCATAAACGGAGCAAACATCGAGCCTATTCCTTCAAAACATTTAAAACAAGTGCTCCTAGAACGCCTCCTTTATCCTAATTTTTAATAATCAAGTACTTAAAGTAGACTATTATTTACTCTATTACAGTGCAGAAAGTCAGGGAAATACTGGTCCAGCCTGTGTCTGGGCTCAACCGTTGTATGCTGCAAATGTTACAGCTATTGGTTATGGGAACACACAATTTGGTGAGTTAAAAAAAAATAATAAAAAGCGTAACTAAAAGCATATTCATAAAAATTCATTTTGATGTTGTCTTATAAATGAATAAAATGGGTGTATTCGAGCTGCAATAAATCCGGCAGTGTTACTTTTTACACACCCGACACTACAATTCCCAGATCTGGTTAAAGAATTCCCTCGGAAGCCATAAAGGCCCATTATAATATCGATAAGAGAATTTCCTGAGACTTGTCCCTGCTTGATTTTAAACCATTTCGACTATCTGGGGGATTCTAGTCGATTCTCTAATGAAGTTTTCCCTAAACTGTTCTGGAAAAAAAGAATCACTCAAAAACTGAGACGCTTTTTCCGCAGTTGGGGGCAATTGCATTAGAGCTGCTGTATGGATTATATATCTTCCTCATCTCTACAGCTTCCACCACAGAAATCGTTATGCGGTTCTCCTAACCGCCAATGGCCAATGGTCCAATGTCCCGTTAGTATTCCGACCAGAAATAATGATTTCTGTAGAATCGCTAATCATGATTGCTGCCTCGCATAATACGAGGAATAAATACTAAAAGTTCAAAGAAAATTTAATTAAAAAAGATAAAAAAATTAACTAAAAAATAAGTAAAGGCTTGTTTTCACTAATGTCAAATTCAATGTGTTGTCAAATGGGATTAAAAAGCGGTATATCGATTGAATTCTATCAGAATATTACATAGTGAGAACCAGCCTTAAGCTTCTAAAACTTAAATGAAATTTAAAAAAAAATCTTTGTAAAACAAAAAAGTCATTAAATTGAAAAAGTTGTATTAGAAACAGTTAAATTAAACAGTGGGAAAAATCAAATGAGCTCCTAAAAATTAAATGAAACTATATATTCTTTTGAAAACAAAAAAAAATACGAAAATTAAAGGAAATTTAAACTATAAAGAGAAAAATAAATAAAATACCTTTCTAAAAATTAAATTCAATTAAAAAATGTTTCTTAAATAAAATTAAAGCTTCAAACTAAAAAAAAAAAAAAAAAAAAATTTAAAAATTTGAAACTAGAATTAGAAAAACTAATTTTAATTATAAAAGAAAATCAGTTTTCTAAGGCATTTTTACCAAATTCTGAGATAGGGTGTTTTTCAATCAAATTTTGAGGTAAGGCGTTATTGAAAAATTTTCTGTGATAGGGCGTATTCGAACTGGCTGCCGAGATAAGTCGATATTCCTTCCACTCAACCATCGATATACAAATGTATGTATTCATATATTATTAGTACTTATCTATTTAAAAAAATTTTAGCTGGATTATCTTCGCCCAAATTATTGAAAGCCAACCTTACAATACTGTCAAATCAACAATGCGCGCAATACTATGAAGAAGATACGGATTCTCTAAATCATGGAATTATATACTCGCAAATTTGTGCAAATGATGAGATAAAATTACGTGATACTTGTCAGGTGATGAAAATTTTATTTAAAAAATGCTTTTCTCATATAAAATGTGAATTTATTAGTTGATTATTTCTATGCGCTCTTATAAAAGGGGAGCCTAAGAGGGAATTTGAGAATTTACTCAAGCACGGCATCGAGTTCCCACACCCTCCCCCTCCAATTTTAGACGGTTCCGTAGTCCCACCCACACCATGCGAACCGGCAGATTAACATACAGTCAGTGCCAAATGTAAGTGTACACCATGTTCTAAAATAATATTAACACTTATTTTCAAGAAAACATTTTTTCATTAATTATTTATGAAAATATAGATTATTCCATAACAACAACCATATAAATCAAAGCTTCACACTTTGTATAAAGTTCACAAAAATTCAAAAAATTTTAATCAAAATTTCAAAATTTGTATTCAGAATTTCTAGAAAATTTTCGAGTATGCAGTTTTGTAGCCCGTTCAATTTTAGTAAAACAAAGTGCCAGTTTCAAGTCGCTAAAAATTGCCGTTAATTTTTTAGATTTTTTTTTTTTTTTGAATTTTGATTTATATGGTGTATGTTATAGAATAATCTATATTTTCATAAATAATGAATGAAAATTTTTTTCTTGAAAATAAGTGTTAATATTATATTAGAACATGGGGTACACTTACATTTGGCACTGTCTGTACATACATACCTCCGTCTTCAAAAATACGTGGGATTTTATCGCTATCTATCAATAACTGAAGCGCTTGAGTATTTCTATATATGCAACTGTGTTTTTTTTAAGCCTCTATATCCTTCCCCACCTTTAATTCTTAGGCTTGTAGGCTCCCCTAATAAATATTACACTAAACGCATATTTTTTTATCACTCTACAGGGTGACTCCGGCGGGCCCATTATAATGTATCGCAATCTAGGTAAGGGCTACTATGAAGCACCGTATATAGTTGGCATAACATCTTTCGGAATTGGCTGTGGCACTGGCACACCAGGAATCTACACACGCGTCGCCAGCTACATAGACTGGATTGAGAAAATTGTGTTCTATTAATTAATGTTGTGCAAGAGGCCAACAAAATGTACTAAATACTTTATGCTAATGCCAACAAATTTTAAGGAACTATATTATACCAATAAAAAGCGAAAGCAAAAATAAAATCAAAACAAAATATGTGGTCATAAGCAATAATCGCCTAAGTCGAAAAACCTGAATTCGAAAAAAAACGCTTTAAAGATTTGGATTGTAATGTTAACCTTATGGGGAAATCAAAATATTTTCATCTATAACTTTTTAAATAGCCTAGCTAACGAGATGGGAGTTTCACATGCACATAGAATAGTAGTTGCAGATAACGATAGCATATATAACTCAAATCTTTCTTAAGTCTACTTAGGCGATTGTTGCTTATGACCACCGAAATTTTGCTCATAAATATGCAACTTCTTTTTTTCTACTTTTGCAATTGCCAGATACTGTGATTTACGCTCTAAAAAAGGTTCGATCACTTTCTTGAAATTTCCGCATAGGCGACCACGACACGTTTAGCCCAACTGTGCTGTGATGTCACCAAAATGCAGCGCTAGAGGCTACAACAACGCATATCAGCGCAGTGCCGAATAATGTGAGCATCAAAGGTCAAATGTTATACAATCTAGCGACGCTCGCCAGCACCATCTGCACAACTTTGTATATCATTACGGTGACCATATTTATGGAAGCCGAATACGGAACAAAAAATAATTTTGCAAATTTTTTTCACAAAAACTTACAAGCCTTCTTCAATGATCCTAGATGTATTAGCCTTGAAACAGAATCCTTGAAGCAACAACATAAATTTGTAGGAAATTATTCCCGAGATTTTTACCCCGCAAAATTTGTTAAAAACAAATCTTTAAATTGGAGTATAATAAAGAGTGCAATTTTGAAGTCGCTAAGACTTACCCTTAATTTTTTAAATTTTCTTCGTTGACGATGTTGCGCTTCTCGTTCATACTTTTTGGCGTCCCGTATAAAATAAATAAATTGCCAGTACAATGGGTCAAAAAAGAGGGCTGTCCCGTATAATACAGGGCGGATGGTCACCGTATATATCACCCACACGCCTTAGAGATGCGCATGCCTATGATGAGGCAGCAGCAGCATAATTTTTGCCCTGGGTGCTAATCACAGTTGAATTATTAAAATTGCCATCGAAGTGGTGAATCGGATGCTACCCTAAACATGGTTTGGTGCGCCGTTGACTGCATTGCTTGTAGGAGGAGCATTACAGTCGACTATGACGTCGTCGTATCACCGCCTGCCTGTGTGCCTGCCTCTGTTTGGGACACGAGTCACTTTTGATAAGGTGCACCCTGGCGCCGCCATAGTTAAGCGTACGCAAGCAAACACTTTCGCTGTTGTTGCGGCTATCATTCGGCAACGAATTAACATAATCGTGATATCGTGTATGAGCACGCCGCAACTATAAAGTTAAATAAAGTAATGCATATCTTCTACATATGTATGTATGTAGTGAGTGTTGAAAGGGAAAAAAGCACATACGCGCATACTTACATACATATGTACATCCATGGAGATAGCAGGAGCTCTGGAGCATGGAAAATAACTGGCGCACCCCTCAGTCGCCTACCACAATGTGCCAACTTCTTTGTGTGTACACTCGCCGTTATGGTTGAATGAACAAATAAATAGCAAATTTCCTTTGTCGCCTTAGGGCTCACTGAACCAAGGAGCATGCGCATACGCTTGCATACATACTTACATACATACGTGCATACATATCTCATACATATGCATGATGTTTTCTTTACCTAAATTCAATCGCTGCCAAATTTTCATGCTTAAAATTACTGCATATGTTGTATGTTGAATGTTGAATAGCGATTTTCCATGTCTGTTTTTCGCTTTTTATTCCTTTTGTTAAGTACTTGAGTGTAGGTTCTGCTTTGGACCTGCACTATGAGGCTCTCATTTGCATCTAGTGTTTGCTTTGTTGATACTTTCCTAAAACAAAAATAGAATACCACACCGGACATTCAGGAGCCGTTTTGCGCTTTTTCCAGCTGTAAGATTAGAACTCCAGAGAGAGAGTGAACTTCATGAGATTGTGGCTTTCGGCGCTCAAAAAGTAATATGAAAGACTGAAAAGCGCTGAATGTCTGACAAGCTTGTTGTGGAGTTGTACTCTATCAAGACAGTTCTGGCAACTATCTTGAAAGCTCATTTCTGTATTTCGAAAGACCAATTTAAAGATCTGCTAACGCGGGGGTTGCCGTTATTCTATTTTCTTTAAGGAAAAACTTTTCTAATAATTAAATTAATTTATTTATATATATAATGCATATAATTTTTTTTTCTTTTTAAAACAAAAACTGAAATTGAAAGAAAATTGAATTGAAAAAAATATGAAATAAACAAAATTAAAAACTTGGGGAAAATAATTAAAGATTTTAAAATTAAACTAAATTATAAAATACGTTTCTATTTCAAATATTAAAGATTTCAAAATGTAAAGAAAATAAAATTAAAAAGAAAAAAATGCAATTAAAAAATAAAATAATATCTAAAATTTAAATGCAATTAAAAAATACATATTTTTTTCTTTTTAAAACACTAAACTCTAAAAATTAAAAGAAAATTAAATTTAAAAGGAAAAAACTTAATAAAGACATATGTATATGTTTTTAAAACAATAAATATGAAAATTAGAAGCAAATTATATTAAAAAAGAAAAAAAATATCTTAAAAATAAAGTTTTTAAAAATTAAATGGTATTAAAAAAAAATATTTTTCTAAAAAAATTCAAAATTTAAAGAAAAAAAATTTATTATAAATATGATAAATCAAAAAAAAATATAAATAAAGTAAGTTCCTAAAATTTAAGTTAAGTTAAAATAATATGTATTTTTCTTTTTAAAACAACAAAATCCCCAAATTTAAATAAAATTAAACTAAAAAGAAGAAATGTTAAACTAAACAATAGATAAACCAAATAAGTTCCTAAAAATTTAATTCAATTAAAATAATTAATTTTTCATTTTAAAACAATAAAGTCTAAATATAAAAGGAAAATGAAAGAAAAAAAGAAAAAATTTGATGAAAAATATACTTAAAATAAGTTAAAAATGAAAATAAAGTTGTTTTCCTTCTAAAAGAGAAGATAAAATCTATGAATTAAATTTTAAGAAAAAAGAATTAAGTTCCTAAAAATTAAATGAAATCAAATTTTTTGTTTTTCTTAAAATAACCAAATCTAAAAATTATATAAAAAAATAAGCTTCTTAAAATTAAATGAAATTTAAACAAAATATTTTCTTAACAATAAAATCTAATAAATAAAAGAACATCAAATTAAAAAACAAAAACAAATAAAAATTACATAAAATAAGTTCCTAAAACTTAAAATAAAAAGAAAATTAAATTAGAAAAGAAATTGAATGCCGCTGCTCCAGGATTCGACCTCGGATTTCACGCTAATGCAGCTCACTCGGCCATTGGGACTGTTGGAGCAGCGCGAGCAAAATGATATGCATACATCTACATTTGAAACATGCTCAAGTGATTCCTGCCAAAAGAACTTTTCACCATGAAAGCTGGCAAGGCATTTTTTTTTTGTAAGACTTTCATGCCAGAATAAACAAAATCTTTCAACCTATCTTGCCTACTGTCTTTCAATGGTCTTATAAAAGACTCGTAACTGTATTAGCCAGAATTGCCCTGTAACAGTGGAGTTGTACTCTAAATGTCTTTTCAGACATTCAGCTGCTTTCAGGTTTTCAGCGCTCTATTCAGCTATAAGTTTTACATTACGGCTTGAACGCGGTAAGCAACAATGCCTGCCAATTTTCTTGTGGATTACTACTCTTACAGTGGTACTTTCATCCTTCTTCCTTTCCCTTGATGTTACCAGTTCAAAATGCGTTCATTAGATTTTTACAAAATTTTTTTGTTTTTGTATATATTTTCTTGTTCTAAATAAATAAGAAATTATATTTAGATATTGTTTATCATTTATAATTTTTGTATTGCCACTAAGCTTAAGAGTGTGTAGGTTTTCATTTGCCAGCCAACTTTTGGTTATTTTGTAAACTCAAAATGTAGAAAACCAGATTATACTCAAAGAAGCGCTGTTTCATTTTTTAGTTGATTTATTTTTTTTGGCGATGTTAATTAAAGAAAATCAATCGTGTCAAAAAGGCACATGCATGTAAATACATAATAGAACTATTGCTGAATCCATTATGTTCCGATTTTCGTAAAGCGAACAACAAAAGAAATGTTCAATTTGTCACGAATATATAGATCGATAGAATTCTTTGATCTGGAGAGCTAGTCGAAAACTTGGAACTCTCGACGAATTTTCAAGTTATCTCAACTCCAACGCCCCGTAGCGGATTTCTATAACATGAACAATGAATCTGCCAAATTAGAACCAGAGCCACCTACAAATGCTGTGTTTGTTTCATCCCAGAAAACCTTGAAAATCTACTACGAACTTCTTTTCATCTCAACTTTGACTCAAATTAGAAAAAAAAAATCCGCAGTCTTACTTTTAGTAACTTATTGACATTCAAACAGACCGGAAAAATAGACTCAAAGAAGCTAAATTACTTGGATTGGATAATCTTACGTACACGCTAGGCGTATAAGGTTATATATGATTACTTCAAACTTAGTACTCTCATCTAAATTTCGTATTTAAAAAATTACCAGCGCTTCTTGAGTCTGTATTGCATCAAATTTGCTCCAAAACTCCAATGGGTGAATCGAATCAAAATGATGGAAAAGGTGTTTAAGAGAATCTCTCCCCCAATGAAATTGTGGAGCGTGGAACTTTTATACACAAATAATTTTGTGCTACAATTTTTGAAAAAAATATATTGCTAGCTTAGATTGAAAAGTTGCTAAGTCCACTTTTTATGAAAACTCGTATTTTGATACAGGAGGCTAGAGAAATTAAAAATGCATCGTTTCGAAAAGGGTTAAGACCCTTATTTTATGTTTTCTGGTTTATATTCATGGAAAGGAAGATTTGCTAAGTCCAAAAAAAGCTTCGAAAATTCGATAAGACGAAAATAGTACGAAATCTTTTAATCCCTCTGATTCGTATGAAGTTGTGAATTGTTTTAAACAGGTGAAATGTTGTATTTAAAGTTTTGCGAAATACTTAAAGAAAATGGCTATTAGGAAGTTTTTTCCTCTCCTGTAAAATTTTTAAATTGGGACTTAGCAACTTTTCACTTTAAGCTAGCGATATGTATTCCTAAAATGATAAATATGTAAGTAGTAACCTAAAATGGTAACAAATTCTTTTAAATTGTAAAATTAAACAAAAAAATTTTAAACATGAGTACATTATAAAGCATTGAGTAGCAATGAAAATCTAAAATAGTGTAGTATTACAAACATTAGGGTGGTCTTCAAAATATCAAAATCTAAATTTTGTATGGAACACTCCTTTATTTTGTTCAACTACAAAAAAAAACCAAGAAAATTTCGACATTTTAAAATAATTTTTAGGAGTCGCTACCAGGATTTTTTACATATTTTGTTAACATAGGAAATAATAACACGTAATTTTTACAAAAAAAAAACGAATTCAATGCTCATATAAAAATTCAGCAGTACCGTTAGTTTCATGATCCAATGATCGTATTTAAATCAAATAAGTATGGGAGGTACTACCACCTTTCCAATAAAAAGCGAATTATCGAAAACGGTTCACGTGGTCCAAAGTTACTGGATAGCTAAAACAAATATATATTTTCCGACGAATCGATAACATCGTTTAAAAAAGTTTTTTAAGTCGTTTAAAAAAGCGTTCGGAGCTCAAAAAGTCCATACTAATTCTACCATTTTAGCGAAACATTTATTAATATGGTAGCGACCCATACAAGTTGTTTTAAAATTTTGAAATCTTCGTAGAACTTCTTTTTTTGTACATAGAACGCAATAAGGGGATATCCCGCACAAAATTTTGCTTTTCATATTTTTAGGGATCACCCTAACAAGCATACCTAATCACATACCTGCCACCAATAGCAAAGCATGCGCCTTTCAAATAATCAAATAATAATAGGTAATAATATACTTTTTGTTAGGCTTTTTTTCTTTTTCTTTAATGATTTTAAAATTTTTTTTTTATTTTATAATTTAGCCTGTATCTATGCTGTTCGTTTTTTTGGTTTAGTATTGTATACATCAGATTTTTTTTTTATTTAGTTAGCTGTCGTTGATTGACCGCGCACAATCCCGTATATTAACAAACATAATTTCTCTCTGCTCAGCAAATTGCAACATATAGCATTGTACATACGATAGAGTTTAGTGTGATAATTTCATTTAGTATATATATAAAAATAATTTGCATTATATATGTATGTGTATGCATGTACCATTTAAAAATTACAATTACAAAAAAATTAAATTTTACAACGATAAAATATTTAAACAATTACTATTTCTATTACTATAATAGCTATTGCATTTAAAAATAAAGTAGCATTGTGTATACAATTTTATCATTTTACAACATTTCGTTCAGCTTAGATTTTTTTATTATTTTCATTTGTGTATAGTGTCTGTTTGCGTCCGAGTGTGTGAATGTTATATTTTTTTTTTTCTTTTGAAGTTTGAATTGATCTGCTGCTTTTACAATGCTCCGGTGAGAGAGCGCGATGTGCTTTGTTGGCAACCATGGCTGCAAATGTTGTCGTGGATCGGATAAGAGTAGCTGTAGCTTTTTCCAACATTTAGCTACTTTCAACAGTTTTGGATTTTTTAAGCTCACCCTTCGCCAATAAGCTGCCATTACAGCTGCATTAGTTTTATTTTGCTCTGTTGCCACACACACACACACCAAACTACGCTCTCTCACCAGCACGTTGCTCTCAATCTAACCCACTCTCTTTCTATCTAGCTCTCAATTGCAACGGCTTTTCAAATATTTATTACAATTATAATACTTATATTAATTTTATACTCTTTCTCATAATTTTTGTATGCGTAAATGTGTATATATAAAAAAAAGAACTCTTTAATCCACTAACTGAGTAGCGCTCATTGTTTTAAAACCCGCCCAATAAAAATTTCCGCATTTAAAAAAAAATTTAGTTTACGATAAGAATGGATTCGACGACGATGCGGCTTCCGGATTTACCCAAGGCATATTATTGTTATTCTGTAAGAGACAAGGAAAAATATTAAATAGATTAATAAAAGTACGAGACAAAAGGAAATTTCTAGTAAAACAAGTTTCAAAAACGTTTAAAAGTATTATAAAATAAACGGATAAAATAATATTGCAAAAGGTAAAGAAAAAACTAAATACATATATGTTTATTTATATACATACATGCATACATGCTAAAAATAGTAACGGTATAATTAGATTAGTAAGGTGTAACAACGCTCATGCGCTTTGAACAGCGCAGATTCTACGCTAACACGATATTTTTACATTCAATTTTTTTTTTTTTTTTGTATCTACACAACTACCGCAAATTCTATTTATTTGCAACAATTAGTAACATGCGGTTATAGTTTTTAAGCATTTATTAAGTTTACCCATTTTTTTATTTAAGCGTCCAAGCCTCCATTGTTGGCTACAAGATATAAAATTTTTATAAATTAGGCAGGAAGAAATGCATATGGATGTTGAGCAAGATTTTTTAAGGCAGTATGTAAATTTAAGGGTGTAAAAGTATTGCGGAGGGGTGGTAGCGCATAAATGCAATTTATTATAGTAGATGTAACAATTCCTAGAATCTCCAATATAAAGAAAAAAACTCGACTATAGTATTCGTTAGAAGAGACTTTCTAGCTTTATTGAAAAGTATCGATATATTCCTTGATACTAGGGTGTACATAGGTATATGTAGGTATGTACATCGATATCTACCACGATAATCACAAATTATGTATATATGTATGTATTCAGGTGCGAAGGGCGATAAAAAATTTGATGTAAAAAGGATTGTTGTTGTCGTATCGGTTACTTCCTACATCAGATAATCTTTCGAATATCCGAATATAGAAAAATTCCCAGCCCTGCCTTACAAAAGTACTGACTAACATGTAGTCAAACTAACAGATTTTAGTGGTTTATTTCTAGATCTAGCATAATTTCCAACCCCTAGCCCGCTTTGCTCTCCACTACAAGCTCATTTGTTAACATAAAACAAGGAAACAAAACTAAAATACACAAGACATAACAACAAAAACATATATCAAATATATAAGCTCAAAACATAATAATAGTAAAAAAAATAAAGATTCAAAACAACGATGTCAAACAATTTCGTACTGTAGCAATAAACTCAATAAAACAATACTGGCACTTCTCAATTTTCCAACACGCATTAAATCAACGCTAGCAACTTCAACAACTTTGCATTAATTTGTAACTTAAGCATCCTCGGCATATTTCAACAGACACTCACTTCCAGCATACAGTTGCCCAACGTTGACGACGCTGTTGACGTTGAAAATAATATTGCATTGTTGTTAATGTGATTGCTGTTGCCGTTGAGGTTGAGGTTAAGATTTTGAGTCAATGAGGGTGTTGCCTCGTAAAAACCATAATTAAATAAAGAGCCACCGGCACCGCCATTGCCAAGGCCAAAATCGAAACCATTGGTAGTACCAGCAAGGCTGCTCGTACCGACATTGCCAGCACTATAGCTAAAAGGAATCGAGGTAGTCGGCGGCAACGACACCGGTACTGGAGCTATTTTAATACCGGGCGTATCAGCTAAAGCAGCCGTTAAGGCATCACTGTAGCTTGTGGTCAACGGTGCCACCTTTGGGTATGTACTGCCATCTGAATTAATCGAATAGTTTGGTACAGTATTGTTGCTGTTATTGTTGAAGGCATCATTAAGAGGATCATAATCTTGATTTATCGTGGTGGTGGTGAAATCGGCAAAGGTTTCAAATTTACTATTGGCTGGTGCGAATGGTGGCTGGAAGGCCAAAGTGTTAGTAGCCGTGGTGGCGGTGGTGCTCTTGTTGGTGGTGTTTTTAAATGTGCTATTCGTGCTGGCCACTTGCTGGCCGAGTGTCGTATTTGACGCACAATCATAGAGTTCTGTCTGTTCACTGTCGCTGGCAATTTGCATGTTGCGTATATTATCAACACTTTGACTGTGAACTTGCACTTGCGTTTGGAATTGATGTGGTCCATCGTTTTGGTGATTATGCTTGCTGTTATTGTTGTTGTTGTATATAAAGAAATCATTTGAAGCAGCGCCGAAGGTGGTATTGAAGACGTCATAATCACTTTTTGAATATTGCAAAGATTGCTTGTTGCCGCTGCTGTTGTTGTTATTATTGTAGCTATTGTTGATATGCTTGCTATTATTATTGTCGTTAAACTCGTTGATGCTTAGAAAACTTGCGAACTCGTCACGATCATATTCAGTAAAGAAGTTTCTGGAGGGCTTAGTTTTGAAAGAAAGGAGTAAATGCGGTTGTTGTTTTTTTTTGTTTTTGTTTGTATTCATGCGTAAGCGAGTTTTTCATAAATGCACGAATAAAATAATAGTATAGAGAGAAAAAGAGTTTCAAAGTTTTAGATAATTAAATGAAAATTAAATATGTATGTAAATAAATTGTTGAAGAATAAAGTAATTCCATAAAAAAATACCAAATGAGGCAAAATCACAAAAAGCAAAATGCACAGAGCTTATTTGCGATTGCAAAATTTTAATCCGTTCCCTTGACAACATACTTTTAGGTCTCTTACGATACCTAGCAATGCATTCTTAAATCTTAGTGGTCCATGCACCAGCGAGTTGATTCATATCAGATAGTTGAAAATGCTTTTTTGTTTTTTTTTTTTTTACCGATTATTCTTTTTTTTTAATATTGCTTAGCTTGTGATGTGCGCTTAACGTACCTGTGACACATTAGTGGAATTGTTAACTGGCGCCCAAGGATCTTGATTCATAGTCATGGCGAAAGGCTGCTGTTGTTTTAGTTGATTAATGGACGGTACCTGCAAATAATTTTTGATTATGACACATATTTTTTAATACTTATAAAACTAATAAATGATGTAGAAAAAGTGAATGTGAACGCACTTAGGGTCTATGATGCTGCTATAAGGTTTTAACTTGAAGTCTAGTAACCTAAGTTAAACAGAGCTGCAGACCATTCAAAAAATTGGTATGATTTTGTTCACTGTTTCGAAAAAGAATTAAATTCGGTTTGGTTCAAATTGTTCGATTGACGGATAAGTCTTTCGGATGCGATACCTGCATTTTCCCAGCGGGAATGAAGCGAATCACGAAATTTCAACATGGCAAATCCTACAGAGAACCATTAAATGGCACCGCAATCAAAAAACTCCAAATCGACACAAAAATGTTGTCCGTATGACGAGAGCACTACTCCCCCCAAAGACTTATATGTATGACTCTTTAACGTTTTTATTTTGAGTGCATACTATTCAAAACATTAATACCAGCCAGTAAATCCATAATGTTCTTTAATAATTAATAATTTAGCCAGTGTTAATAATGAATGCCTATATAAAACTTTGCGAAAAACAATTGTACTTTGTTTTAATAACTTTGGACAGCAGCACATCGAAGTTTTCCTTCCGGCTGTCTGCGTATTAGCTAAGCACATTTTCCTTTGCGCCTCTCAGCTTTTTAACAAAAACAGGATCAAACTAATAATACTCACCGCAGGCTGTTGTTGCTGGAATAAATTTGTTTTTGGTGGTATAACAGTATCGCTAAATGGATTGTAGGCGGCATTGCCTACTTGTGGTTGTGTTTGCACGGGCTTTATAAGATTATCCAAGTTAACTAATGACGAATTTTCACCTAAGAATGACTGTGGTGTTTTCAGTTGTTTTTTCGTATTCGTTGAGGCTGTATTGAGCGATGAATTCGTTGCTGATAGAGGATCCATTTCATCGAGTAGTGATGCTGTGATAAACAAACAAAAAACTATATATATATTTATTTTTTCAAAATTTCAATGACATTTACCATTATTATTGTTAGAAGCACTTGTCATACTATTAGTTAATAAATCTCCAGTCTTATTGCGATTGGTTATTATATCGAATTCATCCAAATCAGGTGATGGTTTCTAGAAAACAAAAATGGATGATTCGAAGTAAAAACGAAGCACTAATGTGAAAGCGTTTGTCATCACATGAATATGTGAGTAGTACCTTTGCCGCACTCGTTTCACCAGTTTTCCATGGATCATCATTGCTCGCTGCACCCACCTTAGGTGCCCACGGATCGGCTGTTGGTGCTGCCGCTAACGGCGCAATGGTCACTGGTTTCACATTTTCTGCCAACCACGCATCCACCGGTTCAACTTTTTCCACACCAGCTGCTGCACCTCCACCCAGAGCGCCACTTTTAGACAGCCAAGGATCGACGCCACCAATCGCACCGGGCCCAATAGAGTTGCCATTCAATATGGCAGCGCCACCAGCAGCACCACCGCCATTGCTTTGCAGCCAACCCTCAGTCGATGAACCAGATGCTACGGACGGCGATTGTGTGCGTGTTAGACCCCAGGCTTCGCCACCGTTGCTACCAATTCCACCAACTGCGCCTAGTGGTGCTGAAGCGGTGGCAGTACGCATAGACGCTGCCGGTTGCCAAGGATCAATTTGTGGCGATGAAGTGCCCGACCAAGGATCCGATAACTGCAAAATTTGTTTAACAGTTAGCAACATATGTACATCTATGTTTCATGTATGTCAATCACCTGGCTTGCAGCGCGTGCCGGCGTGCCCCATGGATCGCCATTGCCGCCTGTAGCGCCTAGCGGTGGACTTGAAATGCTTGTGGCGCCCAAAGAAATGTCCAGCAAATCTAATAAATGTGATTGTGGCTCTTCCTTTTTAGCCGTAGGCTTAACCGTTTGACCTCTAAAATTTCAGATGGTTATTGAATGAAAAGCAAACGAAAAATTTTTAATTTTCCACTTTTGTTACGCACTTGAAATCCTGTTCGCTTTGGCTAAGCGCAAGTTGTAAACGCACATCATCACTGCGTCGCTTCGCCTCCTCCTGTTCGGCTTCTTCGCGAGACATGGCCATAGCTAGCTGCAACTGCAGCTCTTCTTCGCCAGCTGTTTGCGGACGCACCAGCTCCAATTCTGACACAGGTTTCGTCGGTTCCTCCTGCCAACCAGGTGGCATATCACGATGTGTCGGCCCATCTATATAGCCGTCACTGCCAAAACCACTGGGATGTTGCGCGAAGCGTTCTTTCGCCTTCAACGCTTTCACGCGTTCGTTCTTTAAGCGTTCGTCGTCTTTCAGCAAATTTACCAACTGTTTGGCTTTTTCGCGTACATGCGTACCTTGGTCTTTACCCTCTTCGAAGTAGACAAATTCACGGAGTGTTTGTATGGCAAAAATATTCTCTTTGCACTGCTGCGCCACCTTTTCTGTGCCGGTTTTTATCAAGTATTCCAGCAGAATTAGTGCCTTGTAAACATGTCGCCAATTCTTGCCATGATCATTTAGCCGCTTCCAAATCATTTGCATAATCTCCGAGAAGGCAACCACATTGTACGTAAGATCAGCGATTTCTGCCATTATCGTGGCCGATGGCCCCCAAGGGTCATTGGACGTGGCCTCGCGTACTTTAACCTGAGAGGGAGAGAAAAGATGCGAGGTACATATGGTAAGAATAAGGTGTATATGTTTGTAGCATATTTCGCCAAACCTACCTGCGCATCCGAGTAATTGTGTGCGAGGTTTTTAATGTTGCGACGCAAACCAGCGACATTTACTTGCATGTCTTCCTTTTGTTTTCGCACTTTGGAAAAGATAGAAAGAAATATTTAGTGGTTTTAAATAAAGAGCTAGAAATTGCAACATTTAAATGATTAATTAGTTTGTTAGCTAGTTTCATAAAACATGCAGTGTTAAGTTTGGCTTTGAAAGAATCCCAAAAAATTTCAAAACACAAACAGGGATGGAAAGCGATAGTGGAAAACTGAGACTGTCCAAATATTGCGAAAACCAACATCGCAATAAATATTTGCAAATAGTTGGTATGATATGCGCCTAACTGTATGCAACAGCGTGATTTTCACGAATTCGAATTGTAATCGAGTTGGCATAATAGCTGCCTCGCATTGCATCCCTGCATCGATAATGGATATAATATGATATGCATTTGTTAATAAGAACTTCAAAAATGTATGTATATATGTATGGGAAGATTTGCAAGGGAAGCTTTATGGCGTATTATTAACATAACAGTTAAAATATAGAAAATTTAGTGGATTATGTGGATTAGAAAAAATAAGTAAAAAATTTCAATGAAGCAAAAAAATTTGATCAATATTTTCAGTAAAACTAAAAATAAACGGCGCTTGAAAGAATGCAGAATGGAGTACCGCGCTTGGTGTCAAGTTTAAAAAAAAAAAGTTGCAATTTTTTCTCTCCGTAAACAAATCGAATACTAACTAAAGTGAACAAAAAAAATTGTTTATAAACAAAAACTAAACGATAACGAAAACATTCAAAAGAAAATCACAAAATGAAAGCGACCAAAGGTTTTTGCGAGTGAATGCAATAACAATGTAGGTAGTAATTTTTATGTGTGCGTATGCATATGCAGTCAATTATTAAAAATTATTAATATTTAATAGAATGCAAATTGAGTTTATAGTAATAGTTATAGTAATACCTCAAACCAAGGACTTGATATAGAGTAAGTAAAATTTCGCAAAACTTTCTAGTCGAAATTGCAAAGGTGCCTATGTGCTTCATGATTTTGATATGGATTCGAGTCAGTAAAGATAAAGTTAAACAAAATTTTCGACCACTTTCAAAATGTCCACGTAATTTCAATGTTTGAGTATTAAACATAGTGACACGATTTTGAAATAATAATGGATTGTTTCGAAAAAAATTTTAAATGCGCTATCAGTTCAAAAATCTTGAGCGATTTGGAAAATTAGTAGTAAATACTAAAATTAAGGGTGACTTCGAAAATGCAGGACAATTTCAGAAAATTCGGAGTAACTTTGAAAGTTTAGAAAGATTTCGAAAATTCGGAGCAATTAAAAAATCTGTAATTTCGGAAATAAAAAGTTATTGCGAAAAATGGGAGTGGCTTCGGAAATTTCGGGAATTTCAATATTTTCAAAATAAACTAACCAATTTCAAAAATTAACTTCGGTAATTCTAAAAAAAATTTGAACATTCGGTGTAGTTAACAGAGCAATTACGAAAAAAAGTAATTATTTGGAAAAATGTATTTAATCTGAAAAAATGGGAGTATTTTTAAAGATCGGTGAATTCGGAGTTTTATCGAAAATTCAGAGTAATTTCGAAACGAAGGAGCAATTCCGGTAATTTAGAAAACACGGAGTAATTAATAAAATTTGGAGTAATTTAGAAGTTTCGGAGTGCTTTAGAAATTTTGGAGTAATTTGGAAATTTCAGAGTAATTTAGAGTTTCCAGAGTATTTTAGAAATTCGGAGTAATTTAGAAAATCCGGAGTAACTTAAAAAATTCGAATTAATTTAAGAAGCGCAGACTAATCTAGAAAATTCGGATTAATTTAGAAAATGCGGAGTAATTTAGAAAATGCGGAGTAATATAGAAAATGCGGAGTAATTTTGAAAAATCCGTCTAATTTCAAATTCTTGCAAATCAAATTCAGAAAAAATTTTAACAGGTACGCCTTGAAAATTAAAGGTAATTCCGATGTGTTTGGATGTTGCAGAGAAATCATAAATTTTCGAAATAGTTTCGGAACAAGTAGGAAAATTATCGGAAAGTTCTTAAATTACTGCTAATTTTACCAAATGATTTTGGAGTACTCCAACTAAAACTTTATACGAACTTTAAGCTTTAGAAATTATTTCGGAAGGATGCAGTGTAAAACAATGTTGTTGTAGGCCAAATAATCGAATGTTTGTAGTAACTTTGATATTGCAGAGAATTCTCGATCCTTTATCGGAACTATTTTAGATCTAATCGGAGTAAATAAGGGGAAAATTATGAGCGTAAAAGTATTCAAGCAATTGTGCAGTTTCTGTGTAATTCCAGGAGAAATTTTCTTTGTAGTTTCGGAATAGTTAAGAGTAAGGAATTTTGTGAATGGTAACATTTTGCATTTTATAAATAGTTAGTGTAATTCGGCGGAATTATTTGGATTGGAGTACTTAAAATTTTGAGCAACTGTAATTTTTAAAAATTATTTCGGAATGATTCGGAGTAAACAAAATTGGTGAAAGCACAATAGATATTGTAATTGACGACATCGGTAGTGGGTATTAAGAATGGATGATGAATTGCTTTGCAGCTTTCAACTGGGGAGCTTTCAGAAATGTTCAAGAGATTGTGCTTCTGCTTTATAAAAAAAAAAAAATACAACATAAATCAGCAAATTTTTCAGAATTTCCCGGTTAAAGGCAGATTCATTCCTCTACCATGAACGAGAAATTATGCAGCTGAAGGAGAAATGGGAAGACCAAAATAAAGGAATGATGGGCGAAAAAAGAATCATTGAGTCTTCTATATGTATGTATTCTGAAACTATATAGGCAAGCAAATGACCTTTGAGTAATCAATAACTTTTTGTACAATATAATTAAATTTAACTATTACGTATTTATAAGTAAGCAATTAAGTTTGTTAAACTCAACTAAAATCTATTTTTTTTTTTTTTTTGTGTTTTTCTTAATGCTTCTGCACATCATGAAGCATTATTATGAATTACTTAATAGAAAATGAAATGTGTACACAAAACATTTATAAATGAAACGTCGATAAAACCAATAGAACCAAAAAATAGAAAAAAATGGAATAGACAAATATTTGAAGTTCGATTAAGCTGGCGATTTACATACATACATATGCGCATGGAGAAAATGCGTAACGACATATGTATGTATTTGGACTATGATACATGTTCTAAATAAATGTAATAAAAATGTGTAGGTGTATGGTATTTTTATGCGCTGAGTACAAATGTATAGATATGCGTTGAGGTGATAAATTGCATGGCTGGTGGCTTGTGGTGGGTGGCTTGGGATTACATATTTATATTTAGTAAAATTTCATATTTAATGATTACAAACATATGACATAGTAAGTATGTGGGTTTATATTGATATGCAATTTGATAGTAAGTAATTGACAAAAATTGTATGTAGGACTTACTTTTGATTGTTTTCGCTATGTACTTTTTCTTAAACTTTCAATGCTTTTGCGATTTTTTATTCTTATTTTTATTTTTGTAAAATGCTAGTTTATTTTGTTGCAATTGTTCTTTTGGTTTTTTGTTTTTGTTTTTGCTTTTGTTGAGTTGCAGATTTTATAGTGCTCCAAAGCAAGCTATGAGATACAAGATACAAGATAACACAATCAAATAAAAAAAGAATACATATTTGTGTAACAACATTGTTTAACCAAGAAAAATAAACAACAAACAAAAACGGAAGAAATACTGGTACCGAGGAAGTGGTATTGGCAGTGGTAGAGACAAAGACATAAAGCGCGTACATAAGAGTGGAAAAAAATAGAGCAAAATTACAATAAGAGGACATACAATAGACAAAGAGAATTTGCTAATATACTTCTAATGAAAGATAGATACTACGTACAGATAAACTATTTAATTTATTTTTACTTTTTTTTTATTTGTGCAAAGAAATAGAAAAGTGATATAAAGAATACAAAGCGTGAATGTAATTTATCTCATATCTGTGTATGTATGTATGTGTATTTCAAGATTGATTGACCTTTACTTAGTTCCGTTTTTTTTTTAAGAACGATAAGAATTCTGAAGGGTATAAACACAAAAGTGGAAGTTCACCCAGAAAGTGGTATCACAATCCTCATGTTGACATTCATACATACTATTTATGTATGTATTCATTTATTTTTTTCCATTTTAGTGAAGTACAATTCTACTATATACTAGCAAATACCCGGCGTGCTTCACTGCGCTTTAAAAGTATTCCCTCCCAAAACTTGTATGGCTTCATTTATAAAAAATTGTATAAGTTTGAGGAGCTTTACGAAGTGAGATTTTCAAACAAATTTTCGTTTTATGAATCATATTTAATTCATTCTTTTATTTTTTGAATAAACTATAACTCGACTCTACATATCGTGCACTTTCTTTAAAGGTGTATTAATTCAGTATTTACCTTATCTTGACACTTTAACTGAATAAAATTTTAAATAGATGGCAACCCGGTACAAAAATATTTTCAGCAGCAAGCTTTTTTAAACTTTTTTAGTTTGATACCCGTATTATAATATTTTAATTATTTTATCAATTTAATAATTGAATAAAATTTTTTTAAACAGGTGGCAACCCTCCTCAAAAATATTTTTGGCAGTAAACTCTCCTAAACCTCTTTAGTGTGGTACCCATATTGCAATATTTAATTTATCTTATCAATTAAATCAAATTGGGGTTTTCAAACAGGTGGCAACTTTCCACAAAAAATATTTTCGACTCTAAATTTTTTTCTTTTGACAGCCATATTGCAATATTTACTTTATTTTATAAATTTACTTAAACTGTAATTTTAAAACAGGTGGCAACCCTTCAATTAGACAGACAAAATAAGCTTCTTATAATTAAATTAACTAAAAAAAATATATCTTTCTTTTCATAACAATAAAATCAAAAAATTAAATTAAAAACAGAAATCAAATAAGTTTCTAAAAAGCATAGGAAATTACAAAAAAATATTTTTTTTTACAATAAAATATAAAAATTAAAATGAACTAAATTAACAAAAAAAAAACATAAAAATAAAAAAAAATAAAAACAATTATAAAAATAAAAAATAATAAAAAATTAAGATAAAATAAATTCCAAAAAATTATACGAAATTAAAAAAATGTGTTCCTTTTTACAATATCTAAAAATGAAAAGCAAATTAAATAATAAATTAAATTAAAACCAGAACAAATAAGCTTCTAAAAATTAGATTAATATTTTTTTTTATTACAATCAAATTGAAAAATTAAATTAAAAACAGAAACAAATTTCTAAAAATCATAGGAAATTAAAAAAATATATTCTTTTTTCTCTTTTTAAAACAATAAAATCCAAAAATTAAAAGAAAATTAAATCAAAAAAACAAAGTCGAATTAAAAGAACCGCTTCGCTAGACTCGAACTCGGATCTCTCGAATGACATGCCAGTACTTTGCTCACTCGGCCATTGCGACTGTGCGAGCTAAATGATATACAAGTGCTTTCTGTAAAAAGAGCTTTTCACCATGAAAGTTTTCAAGGGAGCTTCTTTTTGTAAGACTTTCATGTCAGAATAACCAAAAGCTTTCAAATTGTCTTGCCTACTGTTTTACAATAATCTTACAAAGGATCAGAATTGCCCTGATAGTCATGATAACATCCACGATAACGGGGCATTGACCTATTGATGAACATGCTGCCAAAATGTGCCTTTCGTACAACACACGGCGCTGTAGCTCTCTGCGAGTGTCAAGCGTTGGTACGCAGAAAACATGTTACAAAATCTTATGAAGATCTTTAAATGCTTGATTAGTAACCTAAATAGATTCATCTACAAATCCAAGTGGTTTTAGGAAACTGACGAATCATGAAAACATAATATCAGGCATGCCAGAGAATGCGTATCAAAATGGTGCCCTCAGCGCTAATTGGGTCCTGGGACAGTGCTCAGGTGACGCTTCTAACTACCAATCAACCACCACTGCCCTTCCGCCAAGCTACGCCATTTTAATGAAGCAAGTTACATGAACTCGTTTATATACTGGTAATCTTCAAATAGCTTGTGGCTGGTTGCAAGATTTGGCAGTTTTACACATTTTATTCTGGTCAATTTAAGTCTTCATTGGCCAATTTGTTAATTTTAATTTATTGCACTTTAAAATTAATATTTTATTGGCAGGTCAGTGTGCTTGTAAGGAAACTTGTACTAGACGAGTGCTTAAAGTTTTCGGAACGAATAGACGCGGAAACTGTTTAGTAATGTCTGACAAAATAGTGGCAGCCCTTTTTTAACCATCTGCACAGTTAAGCCGTCTATGCGACGAGCACTTTTTTTAGATGACCTCCACTATAGTTTATTCTATAGATTATTTAACCTTTCATTCGCATTTTGTATTGAGAAAAAAATCTAGAAATTTAACATATTTTCATCTTATGTTTCTCTTGAAATTTACTTATAAAACTCCGATTGAAATGATCATCAGAAAATTCGTATTCGAACTTACATAGATCCCTCGTTACCACCAGCCGAGAAGGATGGATTTTATTTTATTCAAATAGTTAAACACAATTAGGGGATTCCCTCAAACGCTAATAATAGAAAAGTTTTCGAGGCTGTTTTCGGGAGTTTTCGAGGCAAGCGAAAAGCGACTATCATAAAATTTTTGACAGTACGGTGCAATGTACCGGTCAAATATTATCGTTTTAAAAAGCTATATGGGCTATAAAACTGCATACCCAAAAATATTCGGATTAAAAAGTTTGAAATTTTGATGAAAATTTTTTGAATTTTCCTAAAATTTGCATAAAGTACTTTATATAAAAATAAAAAGCAAAAATTTAACTTTATAAACTTTGTAAATATTAAAAAAAAATCAACACGCGGTCATTTGTTTGAGTCACTGTAATTTTAAAATATTTCCAGCTTAGGCTTTTATAACTTTTGAACTAAGCTTGCATGCTATAGTCTGGTTAAAATTTTGAACGCAACTGAACGCAAGTTTATACACGTTTTCGAGAGATTTTACGTATTTTTGAACTTTGTTTTACAACTTTTATAGCAGTGCAGTACAGATGCAAATGCATCTGTTTTCCCCAAAACCAGTACATTGCACAAGTAGTAAGTACTGATTTAACATCCAAAACGCCGAATTAAAAACAGTTAAACACACTTCAAAGGTAATTAATTACCTGCTAACAAAATAACAGTTGTTTTATTATTATTCTTTTTTTTTTTTGTAACTAAAGTTCTTCAATCTTCAGCAATTTGTATAAATTTTATTAGCAAACCACAAAAATTGAAAACTGCGGTCTTGCTGAAAAACCAAAATATTGCAATACCTTCCCATCAAGTTCACGCGAAAACTGAGGTCACGCAACACCTTTGATGGCCTGGCAGCTAATTTGCCAGCGGCAGCGCGAAAGTATGGAAAACAGAAAAAATTATGAATATGAAAAAAAAATATTGCAAAAAAAACGGCACACACACTTACAAAACTAAAAGGGATAAGTACAGCGAAAACACAGGTAAAATGGAAAAAGAGTCGAGTGAGTATGTATTATTAAGTGGTTCTCTAAATACAATTAGATACAAACGAGTACGGAAAATATGCAAACAAACAGAAGTAGAATGGGAGGTACGCGCACACACACAGGCCTATAAAACGAGTATCAACACATATTGCACAGAGAAAAGAATATTCATACACACAATTACATATATGTATGTGTAATATCCCAGTGGGAAAATGAGGTATGCTTCCACTTGGAAGTCAAATGGAAACATTCCTTATCACTTTTCGCGAAAACTCCCGAGAACGTTTTAAAATTTACACTCCTTTCTTCTTGTTTTTAACAGAAGGCGTGAGTGAGGAATGTTCGATATGATATCGATTATTACGAAGATCGATATTTCATGGTTTAATAATCGACTTTTTGAATCGATATTTTCCGGGTTGATTAAAAATTTAAATAAAAACAAGTAATTTTTAGAAAAAAAAACCGACTTCAACGCCCATATAAAAATATATATATATAGTAACAAGTCCTTGCTTCTCGAAGGTATCTTTATTAATGAATTCAATGGTTACACAATTCTTACAACTAAATTAACAATTATGAGCTTAATAAACTAATAGTGAGAGTCAAAGTGTGAATTGTTGTTGTTGCATTGTAACAAAGAGAAAGGGATTAGTTTAGAGAAAGTCATTAAAGAAAAGATCAGTTAGTAATTGAGCAAATTAGGAAAGGTGAAGAAGAGATGTGGGAAGATAAGTAGGAGAGGTAAAGAGAGAATGAGTAAAGAAGTGTGTTGTTGGTAGTGGGAGTGTGGGTATGTGACTATATATATATATCTCATGATCCACTGATCGGATCTCAACCAGATTAGTATGGGACCACCTCTGAGACACTACCTTTCCGATACAAAAAGATTATCGAAATCGGTTGACGTGGTCCGAAGTTATGCGGTAACATACATAAAAAAAAAATAAAAATAAAAAAAAAAATATTCCGACGAACTGATAACCTCCTCCTTTTTTGGAAGTCGGTTAAAAAAATATAAGAAATTTAATAATTCAACTAAATAAAGAAAAAATATTCAGAAATACGCTTAAAATGAA